TGCAAAGCGAGATGAATTTTTCACGTCTTCCTCTATCTTTTCTGCCTCCAGAACTAAATATTCGTCGGCAAGACTATCAGCAAGATTAATTTCAAAGTTTGGTTCCTCTTCTGGTTCCATTGTCGACTTTTATTAGCAAAATAAATTCGCAAAATCACAGTCCTTACGATAAAATCCTACCGGCGAGTCTTGTTTTCAAAAACATTACGTCATCCATGTGTCTGTCCTCTTAGTGATCATAGCTCTCAGCCAATCAGAATGTGTTATTTACGTGAGTTGTTGTAAAATTGGTTTTCGATCTTACTAAACATAAATTTTAAGCAAAAATATCATCATAGCTTCATAAAACGTCATCTAAATCATCCTAACGACATAGGTTTTCCTTATTTGCTTCATTATAGACAAACTTGATACGTAAATATACTAGTTTTTAATTCAGATAATATGAACAAATAGAGCATCACAAACCCATGTAGCAATAATGTACAAAGGTAATCGTGTACTACTTTTGCTATTCATCTGTAGTGTCGGTGAGGTTAAAGTCAGTAAAGAATATCCAGAAGATCACCAAATCCATGAAGATGGTATCAGCTGCAAAGTTTGGCCGTGCTGAAAAAGAATTAAAGCCAGCAAGATCCTTTGGTGCAGGAGCAGCAGGTAAGCTTATATTTAAATCACATATACAAACTCTGTACATGGCAGAGAAATTTTGTATAAGCATGGAATACACATTGAATGTGCTAAGCTGTGCATGTGACCTTGACCTTGTTGTGTCAATCATTTTCATTACCAGAACAATGATCTCGCACACTAATAAGCTTGATTGGTTCACAGATTCTGTTAATGTCATCAATTAGGGACTGTACAGCATGACACCAGTGCCAGATGCTGTGCTGTTTAACAGCAATATAAAATTGACTTGAAAGGAGGGGGTGTAACTATTTATTCATAACGACCTTACTGATKATTTTATGTCCTTTAGTGTTCAGGGCACGAAATTAACACTTGCAAATGCGCAAAATGAGAGTAAACTTTTGTATTTAGTGAGTAAGAAAAAAACTAGCTAGGTTTTGCGAGTATGACCTAAGTCCAGACATTGAAAGACTGAAAAGTTTAGAACCCTCATCAAGGAAGGTTTGTTGTTCGCGTCTGATTGCTAGTGACTTTGAAAGTTTTGCTAGTGAAGACAAAACTTACTACCAAGGTTTTGCTAGTGGGTTTAAAAGTTAATTTCATGTCTTGGTATTCCTTTCCTTACTATCGGCACTTGAGAAGCTGCATATTTGTGTGTAATTTATCATGTCTTTCTTATYGTTTAATCTTAGCGCTTTACGAAAAAGCTGAGGTCAAGCAAGAACAAGAAGACCCTAAACATCTGGTTATTGCTATTTCCTCTGATCGTGGTCTGTGTGGAGGCATTCATTCTGGGCTAGCAAAAGCTGTCAAAGCTGATCTAGCAGAAAATCCTGACAGAAAAACTTTCCTTATCTCATTTGGCGATAAGACAAGGCAGATTCTGCAGAGAACCCATGGTAAAAAATTGCTCAAAATCTTTTGGATGTATTTACTGTTTCACATTGTAGAGTATATCTAGGACGGGGTTTTGTGACGTGTGGAAAAAGGGAGAGGTTCACCGTGGTCTCAAAAGACAAAGATAACTTTTAGAGACACCCACCAGGTGAAGGAAGATAACTTGAGAAGAACCTCCATCGTATTCATGGAGGGTCATAGTTACTTCATACTACATCAAAGCTGAGTTAAACACCAAGTATAATGTATAAATAATATAATGCATGACTAAATATATACAGCTGTAGTTTCTTTCCCTACCACTTCTGCTTTTGAAATAATTTTCTTGCAAAATATTCCATCTTATTTTCCAATTCCCAAGTCCATTTTTACTCTTTATATCATTGCTTTCGACAGCCGCACACATGTTGATGAACTTTACTGATATCGGAAGAAAGCCACCAGTGTTCTGTGAAGCAGTCTTCCTTGCTCAGGAAATCCTAGACAGTGGTTTTGAATTCAACATGGGTGAGATGTACTACAATACATTCAGGTACCATAACATTGTACTAAAATAAATAATGAGTGGAACTTACGGCCATTTTCATAAATATGCAAACTCGGTACCTGCGAGCTGCACAATGAAATTTAAAGGATTTTAAAATGTTTCTTGTTCACTCCATATCATACACACACTTGTATAAAGTAAGTAATACCATGATCACCTTGGATTCTTTTGTTTTCCGAGGGCTTTTCAAACCCGAATTTCCCGCATGCATAGAACATTAGGGAAATTTAGAAGACAAAGAAATCCTTTGTCTTTTGCTAAATTTCCCTGTCGCATCTATTAAATGTAGGGAAATTTAGTAAAAGACAAAGGATTTCATTGTCTTCTAAATTTCCCTCATGTTCTATGCATGAGGGAAATTTAGAAGACAATGCCTCATCTCCCTCAGGGACAACTCAATGCCCCTGCAACTGAATCAATTACAACGTATCCTACTTATGATATTACTGCACGCATGAGATTGGTCAGAACATGATGCATAACATACCAGCTATCACTGTATTTTAGATGTTCACAGTTTTCTTAGTTGACTGTAATAGTTGTACACAGCTTACTTTAGTGAACCAGTAGACAGTATTATTTACTTTTGTAATGTATCATTATTATTACAGGTCTGTGGTGTCTTATAAAGCAACTACCAAGCCAGTGTATTCATTTGATAACCTAAACAAGGCTAGTGAAGGTGAGTATCGTACCTCCTAAAATCTAGGGATTACTTTCCAACAGTACACAGCATATCATTGGTGCCTGCTATCTTGGTTTCATAATCAATCCAACAAAATTAGATGGCTGATTGAGTTGATAATATTTTCGTTTACAAAAGTGAGCTTTCTCATTGTAAGGATTAACAGTATTTAAGATTTGAGGGAATCAAGGGTGGTGTAGCAGTAGTGCACAAGTTGAAGCTCTCACCTCTGGGGTATAGGGTTTGATTCCTGGGCTTAGTATCGCAATTGAGGCAGCAATGCTTTGACTTTGATCAGCCCAGAGGTTGCTTCAAGGTTTGATCTGTGAGTTAGCCATGCCCTGACTCAGATCAGCCCAGAGGTTCTTTCAGGGTTCAATCTGTAAATTAGCCATGCCCTGACTTAGATCAGCCCAAAATTTCTCTCAGGGTTTGATCTGTGAGTTAGCCATCTCCTGACTTTGATCAGCCAAGAGGTTCTTTCAGGGTTCAATTTGTAAGTTAACCTTGTCCAGACTTTGATGGGTTCTTTCAGGATATATTTTTAATAACATAGGCTTTATTTACAATTAAAATTTTGATATAATATCATGGTTCTTTTCAAGGTCTAATAACTTATACTTAACATCCTAGATTCCATGAGCTCCTATGATGACCTTGATTCAGACGTCAWCCGTAATTATCAAGAGTTCTCCCTGGCTAGTTTACTGTTCTTTGCTATGAAGGAAGGAGCTTGTAGCGAACAGAGCTCTAGGATGACAGCCATGGATGCTGCCAGCAAGAATGCAGGTAAAGACTCTACCGAATTGCTCCTTCCAGTGAGAGCTTAAAATAACAGCCAGACATCAGACAATGTCAGCCCAGAACTGTGACTTGTCGCCCTCCTGGCCTACGAGTCAATAGCCCTTTTGGACTCAAGGAGTAATAATTGCTAAGAAGCCAACCTGAATGTAATGTATACAATAGCTTGCTATCAATAGACCTCACTTCCAGTAATAGCTGCATTTTTAATGGCTTGTAGAATCTTGGAGGTCGTTTTGATCTCTTGTTTTCTGGTTTCATGTCATAGAAATAGGCAAATACAACAATCAATCAGTTGGTACCTTTTATATTCTTGGCTGGCGGCAGTAAAAAATTAATTTTGCAACAACTTATTGAAATGTATGAGTTTGCAGAATATTGAAAACAGCTGTAAGAGTGACAATAAACTTGAAGCGTTCATGGTTCAAGTGTCCTAACAGTAACAAATGAGAACATTCTTGCTACCCAAAGTAGTTCAAGTAACACAAGATTTTCTGCTGAATCTAGACTTGTGTTCCCCTTCCCTTCCTCTTCCCCACCTCCTCCCCTACCCCCAGTGCCATTACGCTGACTACTGTCTTCCATTTGTCTTGCTGATATCAGTCTCATTCTGTTTGTTTCAGGTGAGATGATTGACAAACTGACATTGACGTACAACAGAACAAGACAGGCTGTCATCACAAGGGAGTTGGTAGAGATCATCTCTGGCGCTGCTGCTGTTTAGGCCATGATTGTTGTTATTTTGAGCGTGAATGACATGATGTGTGTTTAAATTTGTCACACTTTTTCTGGGGATTATTTGTGATCTAATAAACTTCAAATTCCACTTAGGGCTCAAATACTTTGTTTTAGTTTAATCTCAATCTTTTTGGATTGATATATATATAGCAAAACCTTTCTTCATCCCCCCCTTCCTCTCTCTACTCCTTTCTCTCTTCCTCTTTGTATCTTTCTTTTCATTTCATACCTTTCTCCCTKGAATTTTTTTCCTTATAGCAATACTTCTAATACATACCTTTGAACCTACCTTCCTTTTGAACGCCATCTCTTCCTCCTCTCTCTGTCTCTTTCTCTACAATGTCTCTTTTATTGTTTTTTAGTCTTATCTCTCCTTCCTTCCCTCTTATTTCTTCCAAAACCAAATATGGGGGGGGGGGGGGGGGGGGGGGGTGATTCAGCTTAATCGAGTAGTTTTGGCCGTGCACAAAGAGTCATTGCTATTAGCAGTTATTACAGTTGAGACCGCAGTGAGATATTCTTTTGTTTTAAGAATAATACAAATGAGACTAGTCTACCGGGTCGATACAAAGCTTGTTGTCTCATTTGCATCTACTTTGCATGCATCCATAATATCTCCTATTTTACCCATATAGTTGAACAAAGACGTCCTTTGTCACTATAACAAATGCAAGAAATAAGTAAAACATGAAAGAAAATGAAGGTTATTTTAGTTCCCAGTTTAAATAAAACCCATTTTCATTACTAATCTTAGCATACCATTTCAAAGGCTGGCTCTTTACTTTACTGTACCTTAGGCGTGAAAAGCTATCTTCCTTTTCATGTCTATATGTTCTGTTTGAGGCGTACTAACAATTTTTACCACAGTTATAAATTTTCTCGCTTTCTGATTTCTCTAGAGCCGGAGGAAATAGGAGATACCGATAAATAGCGTCAGAAAATCACGAGCGCGATTGAAACCGTTTTTCCAAAAAATAGTAATAATTTCACGATAGTTTTTCGTGGCATTTCCTCTTATTTATAATTTTTTTTCGTCATCTAGCCATCAAAATATGTTGTGGACTCCACTCGATCCATTTATTGAGATACCCTCCCCTATAAGTTAAGTTCAGTGCGAGGTGTCTCCGTTTGAATTCCCTGTCTTCATTCCTTTTCTTTTTTCTTTCTTTCTATCTTTGCTGTCGCGATCACAACACATGATTGGCGCAGACATTTTTATTGAAAACCTTGCAATTCTCGTTTTCTCTTTTATTCTTTGGCTCATGTTTATATCTAGTGATTTGTTGAAGGGTGGCGTCGTCGTTGTGTGTTTTGACGAGTAACGCAATGTACCGTGACTCGTACAATTAAGGCAGAGGAGGCATGGAACACAAATGGAAACGAGTATACGGCAAAGAGTGACAAGTAAGTTTTATGGAACATGGTAAAAAGAACAGAGAAAAGGATAAATGGAAAAAGATATATGGAAACTAGTCTTAGTGATTGGAACTAATAAAAATACAACAGGCGTTAAGGAAATGCCTTTTATCAATGCTTTTATTTCTATTTAGAACTAATAATCATTTAATTTTTCTTTTCCACGGATGTGTTTTTCTTTTATCTTAACTTGAGGACAATCCTTTCAAGTTAACCTCCGTGATGCCTGCTTAGCTGAACTCGAACAAACGAATGTTGTTGCAACTACTGAAGTAGCAGTGCCCCTTGCAGTCACTACCGTCATACAAATCAACATGGCCGGTAGCTGTTACGAAGCCGCAGTCCTGGAATACTATGATTCCTTTCTTTCCCTAAAAAACACCACGAGAAAGAAAGAAAAAAGAGAAAGAATGAGAAAGAAAGAGAAAAAAAGAATTGTAAACCGCAAAAAAAGTAAGGTTTCCCATTTGGTGGGGGAGTAGGCACCTACTTAACCAAAAGAATCCTCTCCCTCCCTCCCCCCGGCCCTAATACAGACATATTATAACTACTAATACCAAAAAGCTGGTGATTGGAAGTAGTGTGGACTTAAGGGCCCACAAAGAGATCGACACATATTAGGCTGCGTTTATAATGTATGGCAGAGGGGGGGGGCAGGTGAAAACTTGAAATGTCCAGAATAATTCTTAACACCCCCCTTAAAGTCATGCAAAAGAATACGATTCCCCATAAGCTAGGCTTGTAGCTTATTCCAAAAATTGTGCATCCCCCCATTTTTCTGATAAAAATTTGTGCATCCCCCCTTTTTCCTACCAAAATTTTCCCGATCCCCCCTCAATTTCACCTGCCCCTCCCCTCCCCTCCCCTCCCCTTATGAACGCAGCCTTAGTCAACATTCCCGGTTTTAGGGTCGAGATCCGAGTTGCACACGAGCGAGTGAACGATAAACGAGGTCGATAAACTTTGCATAAATTGTAGCTCATTGTACTCGTCTAGCTTCGGTACAAACAACACCATATAGGGTTAGTAAAGTAAAGTAAAGCTTGATGGACAAAAGATGTTTTCACCGAAGCTAGACCACAATGCAGCACGTTCGCTATCTCAGAAACGGTCTATGCAGAATGGAAAGGCGAGTGTTCAGCGAGACAGTCTGCAGTCTTGACACACTGGTCTTGACTATAATATTAGGGGCGAGGTCAAAGCAATGGTCCAAAATTAGGGACCCAATTTTATGAATTAAGGTGATGGGTACCGGTACATACCTCCCTTCAGAGACCTTTTCAAATTCTCGATACTGGGGGTGTGTAGTGGCAATTTATATATACAGATATGTTTTTTTAGCATACATGCAGACAAACAGTACTAGTCCATTCATTTCTGTGATTTGGCTTTTAGATATGGAGATATATGGGGACAAAATCTAAGATTTCACTTCCAGAGGCGGTGGGTACCGGGTAACACCACTCCTCCCCCTAAATCGGGTACGGTGAGATGACAATAGTTTTGCCCTCATCCCTTATATATGCATATATATATACAACGTACTGAATAAGAGGATTGGCTGGTAGACACGACATCAGCTAAGCCCTTCTTGCTCTCCAAGTAACGTCTCCATGTAGCTACACGGATAATGTACTTTTCGTTTCCTTTACGGGATGCACGTACCCCGGACCAGTTGAACTGTCCGCTACTAATATTTATCGTATATCCTGGGGGGAATTAGTACTGTTAAAAAACTCATTAATAATTCATGAAGGAAACACAATAGAAATATGACCATGAAGGAGGTTTTATATCTGATATAGATTCGTCTTCATTTGCATAAACTTTAACTTGGATTTTCTCTATCAAACTTGGTTCATTTCGTAAAGAATTCGGTACAGTATGAGAACATACATCAGGAGTTTCTTAAGCCGTTTAATAAACTCGCAGATCGTGTTTTATCGGGTCTAAAACCACTCGGCTGTGCCTCATGTTTTATACCCGATAAAACACTCCTGCTCGTTTATTAAACAGTACATATATTGTCAGTCTTTCGCGTTGACAATGTTCAAATGTTGCTCAGTGAAATATACGGATGTGTACTTTGAATGAAATTTGGAATTTTTACGGAGGGGAGAAACCGGATATCCAGAAGAAAACCCCTCGAAACACAGGAGGGAAGCAACGAACAACTCTACTTACATATGATGACAAGTCTGGGGATCGAACCCATGCTTGACCACAGTGGTGCAGCATCAGCAGCGCGCAGCACACACCAGTACACACCGCAAAAACGAACTATGATACAAAGACAGTCGAACGAACATATCCACGAAAGCAAAGTTATAGAAGGTTATAAGATTTACCTGATTTGATCATGGCATAACTGACTCTCATTGCGCACGTATTGGATCCGTACAACCACGTGGGGAGGCCTGCCAAGTCAATCATTTGATTGGTAGAATAGGATTCGTACAATGGGTAGTTACTGAGCATGGTTGAGATGGAAGGCCAACCTGATAATCATTTATGACGACTATTATTACTTAATTAATACGTTGTTTTTGCCTTTTGTATCATAAAAAAATACGTAACCGTCTCAAAGCGCATGACATGGAGGGGTGGAAAAAAACTGAAGACATGCGAGATGGTTAATTCTGCCCCTTCGACCATGCACCAAGTCTTTCTTTAGGATCTTTGGAAATTAAGGCCAATACGTTAGCATAAAAATAGCCGATGTATGCACGATAGTTGTGACCTATCTCTTTCGTTTACGTACTCCGGAATAAAAATAACCCTTCAAAAACTCCTTCGCTGTAGGTGACAGGAATTAGATTTCTCTCTCATCCGGGTGCACCATCAGTCTTTTCGTCAGGATCTTTCCAAATTGTATGGAAGAGCAATTAGTTACAAAAAAATAGCTTCCACAAGAAAGTAATTTTTTTAGGGTAAACCAAAACAGTAAAACGTCCTTCACTATAGTGGCAGGCCTTAGATTTATATCTTAGAATATGAATAAACATGCATTATGAATCTTTCCCTACCATGAACGGTGCTAGAAACCAAGAATAACAATGCCCAAAGAAGACAAATTTGGTGTCTCATGATTGATCGTCAAGCCAGAATACGTGCCAACTAATATCTTCAGTTAATCACGAATTAACTAGTGACTGATATGTTAAGTTGCCCACATTTATACCAGCCGCTCCAGACGAGTTTCAGTTCTTAACGCGTTATAACATGCGGAAACACACAGTGTCTAACAATTGTTATAGCAAACATTGCTGCTAATGGAAATCTCCTTGGCTAGATCTTGAGCTATCTTGATTATTACTTTCGAAGATCAACCGTTCAAGATGATCGTGAATCAACAGTCTAGAAGCCTAACAGTTTGTACGGCTTTTGCATTGTCAGGTGGGGTAGAGATGGGAACGTTCAGTTTACCGACTTCACGTCCTAGGGGTCGGGTCGTTGGTTCGATTCCTGCGGTCATCAGATGTGAACAGAGTATGTTTGTTGTGTTTTCCGCCGCTTTTCCTTCCTCTTTGCAATTCAAAATACACGTGAGTTGAGAGTGCTTAGAAAATCTAGTTGTAGTGAGTGTGAAGTGTGCCGGCATATTTCAACCGGCATTATTCTGGGGCTAGCTAGCTAGTCGAGGGGATTCAGAATATGAAAACAGCTGGTTTCTAATTTATCCTACTTTCTTTCACAAACACAAAATCTACATTCAGCATTTTGGTGGAATCTAAAATTCCTAATTCCGAGTACAAGATATTATGGCAAAACTAGCCGGGATGCTAGAATTCCACAGTGAATCATAATAGAAGATTTAAAACTGATATAAAAGAGAGGATATAAAACTTAGAAGATATAAAACTTAGCCTTACTCAGTAGCGGATCCGGGGGGGGGCAAAGGGGTCCACGGAACTCCCCTTGAAGGTTTGATCTTTTAGGTAATAGAAATATGTCTTATATAAATTTTGCTTAATGAGTATCCACAAAGATAATGTTGAACACGAAATGATAGATATTTGCTGTTATAATGTTTGATTTACCTTTACGTTCCGTTACTAGATAGTAAATTAGGTGATTAGAGCCATATTTTTTTTGTCAAACATCGACTAAACAAAAGAGAATTATACACTGTTTAAGAAACGGAACCCCCCTTTGAAAAATCCTGGATCCGCCACTTGAACGTCTCACATTGTGTAAAACAACACAGAGAACGTGACGTGTTTATGCTAAAAATCTTCGAAAATCAAAAGCAGGTTTTTGCTTGAAAAGTTCTCTTGTTCTAGACGAAGGTGAGTCGCAAAAAATAGATGACTTTTTCAACGTTTACTAATGTCTATGTCTTCAAACTAATACCCCATTCACACCAAGTATTAAACATGTTTTAAAGTGGTTTGACTAAACAGGTTTGGGAAACTATCTACGAAACACTGCACAATATTTGGTGAAATAATGCATGTAAACTATCCTTTGTCTTGCTCTGATAATATTTTGGAAAGTTTCATTATATTGTAGGTTTCTAGTTTCTCAATTTTTTCCTAATGAAAACATAGTCTAACTAAACACGTTAAGGTGTGAATGGGGTATAAGAGTGTTTGTAAGAGGTCTAATTAAATTAATGACTCGCGTCGGTGGAGCTACTACATCCATGTGGTAAATGTGGCTAAGATGACATGGTTCTCTAATTTTCCTCCCTCTACAAAAATCAACATGTGAGCCGTTGAAACTTGTACGCTTAGAATAGTGAATGTAGTGGTAGTGTGTCTGTGAGAGCAAGTCATGGGGACAAATTGGAAACCAGTTTCTCGATATATAATAAGCCTAAGCAGAATCTCCTCGCCTGCCTGGCTATAGCCAGAGGCTCTACAACACACTTTACACTCATTACCATGATATTTAATATTCTAAGCACAGGACTCTCAACTCGAATCAGGGTTCGTGCTGCGGTAACGACTTAAAATTCAAGGACTATTCAAGGAGTGTACAAGGCCACAAAAATTAATTTACAAGGAGTATGTTCAGCTAAATATGCCAAGGTTTTACACTGGAGGTGGCTGCACATGGCCGACTTTCAGATTTTGCAATCTTTCCGACTAGATCTATTTCAGAAGGATGCAAGTAATGATCAAAGCAAACATTCAAGGAGTGTTCAAGGAGTTTCGCTAAAATCGTAAAATTCAGAAGCTTTTCAAGTGCCCTTGAAAACGTGAATTAATTTCAAGGATGGTATATTGCATCTATAGAAAAAAGTAAAAGGTAAAAAGGTGAATGCAATAGGCAGTCAGACTGTTAGGCTAGGCTGCTAGACTGTTGATTCACGATCCTGAACGGTTTCTTCAAAATAATAGTCAAGATAGCACAAGATCTAGCCAAGGAGATTTCAATTATAGCAGCAAAGGTGCCGTGGTTGCTATGACATTTTAGACACCGTGTTCTCGCATGTTATAGCGTGTTCTGGGTTTCAGGCACTGTTCATGGTAGGGTAAGAATGATAAGGCATGTTTATTCATTATCTAAGATATAAATCTAAGGCACTAAAGTGAAGGACTTTTATTTTCGTTCTGTTTTCTTTTATGCTTCCCTGCTAATAGTCTGTCCATACGATTTTAAATAAAAGATCCTGACGGAAGAATGGTGCATCCCGCGGATGAGACACAAATCTATAATGCCTGTCAATAAGGAGATATCAATATGTATTTTTATTCCGGAGTAAATATCGTGTATAAATAGGCTATTTTTATGCTAATGTATTGGCATGGTTGAAGGAACAGAATTACCCATCTCGCAGGTCTTATTATTCCACGCGGACTCCATGCATGCTATAACGCTTTTTAAAGATGGTTTCGTTTTTTTTTAATGATACAAAAGGCAAAACGTATTAATTAAGTAATAATAGTCATCATAAATGATTATCAGGTTGGCCTTCCATCTCAACCATGCTCAGTAACTACCCATCGTAGTTGGCAGGCCTCCCCACGTGGCTGTACGGATCCAATACGTGCGCAATGCAAGTCAGTTATGCTATGATCAAATCAGGTAAATATTGCAACCTTCTATGACTGCTTTCGGGGATATCAGTTTTGACTGTAGTATCATAATTTATTTTTGCGGTGTGTACTGGTGTGTGCTGCGCTGCTGATGCGCCACCACCGAGGCCAAGCATGGGTTTGCCTCCCCAGACTTGTCATCATATGTGAATATGGTTGTGCGTTTCCTTCTCTCCTGTGCTTCGAGCTAGGGTTTTTCTCCAGATTCTTCAGCTTTCCTCCCTCGACACACAGGAATCCCATCAATTAATTTCAGCAACATTCAAACTTTTTTTTTGCGTCATGTCATGGAATATCGACCACCGCATATATCTACCATTTCTCTCTTTTAATTTGTAGTTCATTGTCAAATATTAGTTATACATTATTATATATATATCTTAGTTATATAATATTTCTATATTAGCTATATATCATTTCATATATTGTAGAGTCCCATCTGACAAGCGCATTTGGGCACATTGGAAAAGGCGCGATATAAATGTATTATTATTATTATTATTATCATTATTATTATTATTATTGATTACTCCTCCTTCCACATGGGAAACCTTTTTTTTGCGCTTCACATTTCTTTCTTTCTCACTCTATCATTTTTCCCCCCTTCTCGTGTCTGTGTGTTTTAGGGAAAGAAAGTAATCAAAGTATTCCAAGACTAAATAAAAACATCCGTGTGAAAATAAATAAAATGATTATTATTTCTAAACAATTCCTTAACGTGTTGTTTTTTCGTTCCAGTCACGAAGAATAGACTGGTTTCCATATTACGAGTCACGGTGCCTTGCGTTACCCAAACTATGTCACAATACACAACGACCAAACTTTCAACAAATTACTAAATATAAACTTGAGCCGAAAAAAAAAGATTAAGAAGAAGAAGAAGAATTAGAAGAAGAAAAGAAAGAAAGAAAACGAGAATTGCATGGTTTTCAATAAAAATGTCTGTGCCAAACATGTGTCGTGATAATGACGGTGACAAACGTTTTGCCGTTTCTGATTGGATGAGCAGGAAAGTTATATATAGCCACTATGATTGGTTCAATGTGTAAAGGGACTTTTCCCTAGACGTAATACTTTATTACAAACTCAAAGTGTTTACAAATATCTAATCAGAAACTTCCTGTCTTACTAGAAAGAGAAAAGTTTCAGTTTAAAAAGAAAAAGTTTTCAGCTAATATTTAAACACGCACAGGATTCTGGTATACGTAGTCTGTTATAAGTACATAAAGGTTTCGCAATGTTTGTCAAGATTTTAACATTGCTGACTGCTGTGAGAATGGCTTCTGGTGGAGGTAAGGACTACTCAGAACCCAAATACAAGTAAGACAGCATTGAACCTTGGTATCGGACTAAGTTTTAAAGATTTACGAAGGTCGAGACGAATCATTTTGGTTTTTTTAAATTCTCATATTAAGAAATATTACTGTTATTTCCGCTTTTAAAACGGTGCTCGCTTTTTCTTACAGTTTTGTAGCTTTTCAGGAACTTTTAATGAGCACAAGAAGCAGTCTGTGACTACTTGTTCAATCTCCATGGCGTGAAAATTCAGATTTATTTTCATCACAAAAGAAATTATTTTTTCAAAGTGACTATAATTCCACACAAAAGGAAATAAGAAAGACAGAGTGACTTGTATACCACGGGTCATTATGTTAAAAATTTTTTTGAAGCGAGTGAAGTTAAGTTTATATAAAACACCAAAAATTTAGCTGGTCAAGCGGATTATTATGGAAACTGTCATAGTTTAATTTTTGATATAGAAAAGTTTGGGATGCAGAAAAAATCTGCTGATATTAGCTTTTTTTTTCTGGGAAAAGCGCGTGCCAACCACGACTAGACGAGGTAACCCCCTCAGTTTCAGCGGTCGTGACGTATCTAGGTAAGCATTTCTGGGCGAATCAAACCCAAAGCGAAAATAACGCTGTTTAGTTATATTTATTTTAATTTCACCGAGAAAGAAAAAAATAACAAGAAAACAAAAACTAAACAAATACGAATAATAGATAATGAAATCGAGAGGATGACACGTGGTTCGAAATAAGAAAGCAAAATGGATTAGCAGCATTAATTTAATTGGAAACTGAAATAGTCTCTTAAAGCCGCTATTAGAGTGCATTCAAACTGTTGAATAGTTAGATAAATGTATCTAAACTTAGATAACTATTTAGTTGACGTCACCTAAAATAGTGAAAGCGCGCCAAATAACGGTCATGCTAATCCGGGGGGTTGTTTTACCAGAGAATGAGTGAATAGACATTATCATTTCTTCCCCTGATCTCAGTAGCTGTTTTCTCGTAGTTTCAAATGTGAGGTCAGCTAAAATAGAACGAGGTCTCTGGCATAATCCATATTTTGGCGCATGCGCAGTTTTCGGAAAGTGAGATATAAACGCTCAAAATAAGCAAGGTAAAAATTAAATCGGAGTAAAAATCAAAARATCATTTGGGGGGAGGGGTACGTATTTAGTAGTGTTGAAGGGGGAGGGGTACGTTTTCCATTTAATGATTTTAGAGTGGGGTACAAATTTCGTTTCATTTTTTTGCGAAGAAACCGAAGAAATAAAATAAAATCTTTAATATATATCCAAGAACAAAAAACTCCTCATCACTTACACACTATGTATAGTTTTAGGTTCTAAGATTATTTAAGAGGACCCGTCACCATCGCCAAAGTTCATTTTTTATCTTGAAACATCTAATATATTTTCTATTGTCGTAGTGTGGCCTTCATTTTCGACTCTTTGGAATAACTACCCAACTGCAAGTCAGTATAAAGGGGATGACTTGATTGATAAGATAGGCCTACCGGAATGGTTACATGGTGCCAATACTTGTGCTATCAGGCTCAGTTATGCCTTGATCCAGTCAGGTAAGCAGTTTGTTCCTGCAGGGGCGGATCCAGGGGAGGGGTACAGGGGGTGCGCATCCCTCCCTGGTTCCACTTTGTGCTTCTACTTCAAAGATAACCAATACTGTTTTTCCCTTTGATTCTAAGGGTGCACCCCTCCCTGGGTTAACTTTGTGCGCAGCACCCCTCCCTGAACAAAATCCTGGATCCGCCCCTGTCCTGGCATATGTTCATTGCTTCCCTCCCCCCCTCCCCTCCCCCTCCTCACCCCGATATCTTTGGGAGGGTGTTTCTTTACTAGGGGTTTGGAAGGAATACAAACACTTGCAAACGTCTTTACTAAAAAAATTTATGAGAAAATAAGTTAACGAGCATCACAACAATTTGACAGCAATAGCACTGGTGCGGGGCGGAGGGACAGACGTTTTGAAGTGTTTCCATCTTCTTCTTCTTCATCATCATCATCACTATCAGCATTATCATTATCAGCAGCATCATTATCCACCACCAAAACCAGCACCACCGCGATTACTAATAGCATTTCGCTTTTCTGATTTTCAGGTCACACAATTGACATCAAAGAAAATGAGTTCAACTGGTCAGGAGTACGAGCCTCTCGTGGAGGGAACGAGAAGTACATYATTCGTGTAGCTACCTTCAGGCAGTATCTAGAAAACCGTAAAGGGCCTGCTGATGTTGTATCCAAAAGCAAGGCTGATTTCCTTGTAAGTATTGCATCACTGGGGGTGTACCCCAAAGATCTGTATTTGGGCCACTTCCATTCAGTCTTTTCATTTTTAGAGAAATAGTGACTGGTGTGCCTCAGAGTCTTATACTCGGTCCATTTTTCTTCACCCTTTTATCTCAAATCGAAGAGCAAAAACAAAGCCTACTTATCTTACTGGGGTACCCCAGGGTTTGTACTTGGGCCACTCCTAATAGCTCCATTTGCTTCTCCATTTAAAGGTCTGATTTAAGCATTATTTACCATCATCTATCTATATACATAATACGATTTTCCATGATGCGTTTGCCATAGTGTCATTTCTTTGCAAGGTTACAGAGTAAAGCAACTATCCCTCGAACATGTTGGCCATCATAACACGTTTTCCTTTGATTTCAGGGTAAAAAAGGAATCATAGTTTTCCAGAATTGTCCCAGCTTCAAAACAGCCACAGGACACGTGGATGTATTTGATGGCCAAGACTGTAAAGGCCAGGCTTACTTCAATGAATGCTTCGACATTCGCCTGTTTGAACTGAGCGACAGAGATGAACTGTAGAAAGATTCCTCTTGATAAAGTTTTTTCTTCCATCTTCCGTTCCTTTCTTTTCTTGATTTTATCTCAGCATTAATTTTTTTACAGCTAGTTTTGTATTGCTAATTAGTTCTGTGTTCACAATGACATCGGGATTCGCCATGACTAAGATATATTAGCATTATTTCAAAGGTAATAGTAAAAAAAAATAATTCGATACATGTATAAGTACAATAATTGACGTAAATTTGTTATGAAAGCATTTAATAAAAAAATAATAAAAGTGTTTATTACTTGTGAATTTTATGTCATTATTATATTGGACAGCCCGATTTATTGTTTCTCATTTTGTTTGATATAACCAGCTCAAAAAATATTTTTCTTGATAAGAATATATCCTTTTGCCAAAATTTCAACTTTTTGTTTCATTTCTTTTTCATTTCGTAAATTTACAGATATATATATATATAATTAAATTATATATTTATTTTTGCTTTTGAATGTATATATGTGTGTATTACTATCTAGTGTAAGCATGGCCTTGCGTGCATTCATCTAATATTAATATTAATTTTAATGTATTTTGTTTAACTGGATGACCGTTTTAGGATATCGTAAAAAGTGAAGGAAATTCTCAATTGCATTGCCATAAAATGTGATTGCTTTTCTATGTGTGATCATATAGTATTCACATATTCATATACAGCACCTTCAAAAATAAAAGAAATTGCTGCTGGGACATCAAAATAATGGGACATACAAAATAGCTAGGTCAAACCTTCTCTCTACAAGACCTGACCGTATTAGACATGCAAGATCCAATGCTTGATAGCTTGTCAGGATGCTTCCGGAAGTAAAGCACAGAACCTCCAACGATGACTATAAATGCTATGCAAGCGATGACTATTCCTGCGATCACTCCCTTGTTAGCTACAGTACGAGCCACGTAGACCCCACCTGCACAAGCAATACAAAATATCTATCAGTATTCTGTAACTATCATTAGCAGATATTTGAGATTTATTGCCTTCAAACAATTGTTGTATTTGGGTTAGTTTCTATACATTTCATTGTATCGACCCAAATGCCTCGACTTGAAACAATAATTGTTTGAAGGCAATTAAGTGAAGGCAATTGAAGGCAACTCTGATATCTGCTATTAATTTGCAGAGCTAATATCATTTATAGAGCTCTTGAGGTATTATAAACAAACTTGTACCATCAACATCTTATAATGACAATAACAACAACACATCAAAGTCAAGATCATTATAACCACGACCACCACCATGAACATCATCATCATGCCACAAGCACACCAGATCATTGAGATAACATCACTATCATCATCATCATTGTCATCACCATCATAATCATCATCATCATGATCATCCTTAATTAGAGAGCCTCACAAGCCAGTTGTTTTCAGTATACACAATTACCACTGCCTCCTTCAATCCATCCCTCCCTTAATCAGGGTTGTCCATAATAGCACTAGTACTATTGTAACAACAACGACCATAGTTTATTTTCACCTGCATTACTTTCCAAGATCTTAAAATAAAGTAAGTTAGAATAACTTAAAATAAAGTAAATCAGAGTGACGGCGTTTAACCCGTGAAATAAAAAATACTGGTCAACCTGAATAGCCAAATAGACACAAAAGAAAACAATGCAATTAGGGTCTGCTAAAGTGTATTAGTCTAACATCTATTTCACAGGTTTAATGACTTCCCTCCAAGATATCCAAAAGGTTAACCGAGATGAATTAGCTTAGTAGAATATATAATAATTATAAATGAAGGTCAGAAAAGTGAAGGATCATAAGGTAAATTAAATAAAAAACATTTATACATATCCTATATCTATGTATTTATATAATTCATAGTGTATTGACAATTATTATATTCAAAGTATAATTAATGTACCTTGATCCGATTGGAACTCTAACTTTCCATCTGAAGTGGACGCCTTCACCTGATACCAAGTCCTGAACCCCTCATTATCATCTGAACGATACACCTCTACGTCCTCAGTTGAGTCACTCTGGTATCCCATCCGAACAGTGAACTTCTTATTTGTCTTGAGAGAATGTGGATTGATAACTAAGAAGTCACTAGCATACTCATTACCAACACCCATTTTGCCATTCTTGGACATGATCATTTGGTGGCCATTTTCAGGTGACATTCTTTCAACTTGGATGTTCTTTAGCTGGGATAGAGAATTGGGCTTGAATGTAATGCCCTCTCCCCTGAACGATAAATGGGATTAATTAGCTAGGGGTTTCATGGCAGACATATTGCAGGGCAAAAACAAAATGTTTTTCAATATGACAAGAGATTTCATTTTGCAAAAGGGACTTGTTTTGATAAAATAATAATGGGATTAATTAGCTAGGGGTTTCACAGCAGACATGCAGTTGCAGGGCAAAAACAAAATGAAGAACAAGAGATTTCATTTTGCAAAGAGACTTTTTTTATTTTCTTGGCCAATTAGCTGTTCCAGAGTTGTAGTTTGAGGGGATCCTTTATTACTTATGTGGCATCTTTTTCACTTGCTGATAGTAAAAAGTGAAAGAAAATGTGAATATAAGAAACTTTAATATCATTTTTGATTTTCAAAACTATTTGTCTCTTTATGCATAAAAATTATATCAACTCATTATCCTGGGCTCAAGAGGTTATATTTTATTCTAGATCTGGCTTTTGTTGTTTCAAAGGGCTTTTGGCTCTGTCCCGAAGGGAAATCGGTGTTCGCTCGTTATAAGAAGCGAAATAGAACCTTTGGAGCCCAGGGTATCAACTGATTGATGAAGCACCCCAAAGCAGTGAGCAATGACTTTGGGGAAGGCTATCCCTTTTACGCCTATCTTCATCCCACCACACCAACTATGCTCAGGGGGCCAATTATAATCTACAGTAAGTTATAAGTAAGTAAACAGCAATCTACATACTTACTTTTCTCTGAAAGCAATAGTACCTCCACTTCTCCCCATCATAGCACTGTACACGGCATTATCACTCAATACAATACGTCCCTTTTGACTTCTGTTCGAAAAGTTGTTATTTCTAGAGCACATGTAGTGATAGGTGCCTGTGCCTGTTATCATACGTGGACCAAGATCAAAGTATGTTCCTGCATCGTCTAGTTCAGACATCTCACCACCATATTGTACTGGAGAGAAAAAAAGATAATTAGAAAGCACGCACCTCTCACCAATGCAACCCTGGTTTGTAGTCCTGATGAGCTCAGTCTTGTATGTGAGTTGAGTTGTTTGTTGGTTCTCCCCTGTGCTTCAAGGGTTTTCCGGCTTCTCTGGCTTTCTTCCCTCCACAAAAATCAGCTTCTAAATTCCAATTGGAATCCAGTGAAAGAAGATCCACTCTGTGGAATTCACTGTTAATCCCATTAATATAATTCATATACCTTTATCCAGTGTTGCTAGACTTGTTAGATCCTTTCTATCTAGTCCCAAGAATGTAGCACTGTCAAAGTGCTCAGGGTAGTTACCACCCCACTGTCCATATGTCTTCTCTTTAGGTTCTCCTTCAGGATATCGTTGTTTCTCTTGTACTAGTACATTGGATCTGTCTGTACCTGCTTTTCCTTGCCCATCATTTCCGTTTGGGTTTGTGTTGGACCCTGTCCACCTAAAAAATCATTCATAAAATTCAAAATTGATTGAATGCTTTTAACTTTATGCTTATAGTGTATGAGTGGGGAATGATATAGCAAATTCATAGCGTATGTGCTGTAGCCATACCATTGCAGAACTATGTGTTGTGGTTGGACGAATAATATTACTGAAAGACAATGGCAAACCATTGCAGCATTGCAACAGCATACCATACCGTGCTTAAAAGTGCTTTATTATCTACATTCATTGTCAGTAGCTTAAAGAGCGACAAATCATATATGATCCCAATAAACCGAACGACCAATATATCCTAACCAACTGACTAACCAATTTACCAACCACACAACAAAACAGAAAAATGCACACAATATAAAATATAAAATGGAATATCTATTGAAACATTCACAGCGACAAGATAAAGTTGCTGAAATCAATGGCAAATGGTGCCATCATGTTAATACTTACTGGAAGTGAACATAGTCACCATTCTTGGCTATGAGTGTATTGGGTACGAAGTCATACTCCACAGCTGGGTACACTTGTACAATGTTACCCCTCTTTCCACGAACATTGAGATTATGAATTTTTTTGTCTTTGAGGCTGCTGGGACGGCGTCGAACAGCAAAGGTGTGGCTCCTTTAAAAATATCAAATAATTTTATGCATTGGTTGTTTTGTACTGAATATCAGTTTGATTAGTTACACTGATTTCAGACAACTTGTGGTAGGTTAAATGGCGAAGGACTGTAGGATAGCCATTCACTGTGAGTGAAGTGCAGGCAACATGCTAAATTCCAATTCAATCTATGGGTTAGCCATGCCCTGACTTTGATTAGCCACGATGCCATTTCATTTGACAGTGTAAATTGATAAAATTTGAAGCATTGGAAATAGCTGAGCCTTTGGAAAATGAGGAGAACCTGCATAATGTGTGTCAAGGATGGTTAAAGACACATTTACCTGTTGTTTACCTGTCTCGAAAAACATGACCAATGTAATTGGTATTGATAGCCAAAAATAGGTGAATTAATCTAAGTCTAAATTGATCTTATCTAAATTATGTACATCATATGAAGGTAATATGGATGGAAAGTAAGTAATTACCTGTCTTGAAAAACACGACCAATTTGATTGGTATTGATAGCCAAACGTAGTTGAAAGTTCTTAGCAACATCACCACCAAATATAGACACAACTGGGTTTTGCTTGAACAAGTATCCTCTTTGAGAAGCCTGTGTGTAATTGAAACCAAATCTTTCACCTATGTCTAACAGGGAGGCTTTGGTACCTCTTGGGGGCTGGTTAAGAGATGCATTGACAGAGGAGTCCCAGCCATCAAACTCACCAGTAGATATGTTGTACCTGTTCAAAAGGATTGAAAATATTCAGATTCACAGTCTGAACGAGTATTGATAAGAAACCCAAGTGCACTGTGTTTGTCTGATTCTGAGAAGCTTTTTGAAAAATGCTGTGCTTACAGTAGCACGATAGTTTTTTTATTTTTAAAAAAACTGACATTGTTAGTGGCTTGGTTTAAATATTTTATTTTAAAGCAATTTATCATAAAGTTGTCACGACATTCATTTATAAACAAGCAAGATAGTATGCATCATTACTTTAGCTTTAAAAATGTTTTCCTTAAAAATCATTCAAAAGATGAAATCCATTTGTTCTCTAATTATCCAAATTAGACACTGATCAATGGCTGTTGAAAACTGCTTTGCTGCATTGTGTGTAATTTTTTCATATATTTCATCAATGCCTTGTATCCTATCTAACAAACCTTATTCGGAGTACACAATTTTCACTGTTAAGATCAGGAAGAGTCCAGTTGTAAGAGTTAGGGTAGCCTCCATAGCCGTTACCAAGGTGATTGTCACGTGACCAGGTTGTTTCTCGACACTCTGGTGCTGGAATATCATGGGAGGGATTAAGCTTCCAAACACCTCTTGTTCCATTGACTGAGTTCATAGGGTATTTGAAGGCCTGTTTTGAATGAATGTAATGATTAACAGCGTTAATCCATCTAAAGATTAAATTCTCTAAATTCTAATAACTATGGCAGATGGTGGGGGGGGGGCAGGTGAAATCTTTAAATGAGAAAAAAAATTCTCATGTAAGACACCCCCCTTGGAGATCCCCCAGGGCAAGCTCTTATAGCTTCTTCTAAAAATTTTGCATCCCCCCCAATTCTCTGAAAAAAAATTTCAACCCCCCCCCCATTTTACTGGTAAATATTTTTCCGTTCCCCCAAAATTTCACCCCATACATTAATTATGAAGGCAGCCTTATGCTTTCGTAATTCCTGAAAGAATTTCATGAAAATTTCAGAATGCTTTTCTTGCATTCCAAAGTGCTGCAAGGGGTCTATAAAATAAATTAAATTATGTCTTTTTTCTTGTCTTTAATTACCAAGCACATGAACACGATCACCTGTTATTTTCAACATTTCGCCATGGCAACAAGACAATGAACTGATCGAAATGCACATAAGTTTCTGTTATCTGTATATTAACATGTTAGTAAAAGTTAGTAATTGTAAACATGTAATTTTAACCAATCTGAAGAAGACAGCCTAAGGACTGCCAAAATGTCGGAAAACTTATACAAGAATCACTGTGAGTACAGTATGCATCCCTAGAAACCACAATGAAAATAAACATGTCATTTGAATTTTTTAATAAAGAAATCCAGAATTACCTCACATTCCTCTTGAGTAGATGGAATATAATAATTCCTCCAACCTTTGGCCTTTTTGTATTCTGTCGGCACTTCACAAGTATAGCGTCCTTTAACATTTTCACTTTCTTTTCTATACATCTCACATCGTTCTGGATCATTGGTCATGATGGCAATATCCTAAAAAATGGCAAAATATTGCAGAATTATTTAGTGTACTGTGCAAATATTAGTCTCCTACGCAGCCGCTATTAGTGTCGTCACGGCGAAACTAATAGTGGCTGYGTAGGATACTGTGCAAATATATAATCTTTATGAAAAAAGGGAGAAAATACCAGTTGATATCCTGCGTAATTATTTGTAACAGTATGCAATATTTCCTGTAAATTGAATAGTACAGGGGAATAGCCAGGATTTTGCCTTGGGAGGAGGGGAGGGGGCAAAACCTGTTTTCAGAATATAGATTTAAGTTGAACTTATCATGTGACTACATAGATGTTTTGGTTTCTACAGCATGAGGCTGAGTGGCCGGACCCCCTTGGCCCCCTGGCTACACCCTTGTTATTTATACATCATGTAATTACCTTCCATGGTGTAGGGTGCCAGTAGGGGTAGTAGTCTCTTTCCTCTGGACATTCATAGCCACGCCTCGTTCCACCAGGGTTCTGACGAGTGTACTTAGCAGATTTGCCTTTTGGCTTCTGTTTTCCAAAAAGATCAAACACAAGTGATTAATATGACGCCATAACGTACAATAGCTCCCAATGAGGAATTTTGGCATTTGATTTTCACTATAATAACTTTCACATTATAAAATTCTTTTAATTGATTGACATCGGCTAAAGAAAACAAATTTCAGCAAGCAGCTTAAAGTACTAAGCTCAAATTATACAGAAAACCGCGGTTCTATATATCTGGTCATAGATTTGGGACATGAAATGTAGACGGACATACCTGATCAGCTAAGAAAAGGCCTTGGTTTCTGTTTCTGTGCTTACAGTCCATGTAGTAATCATAGTTTTCATGCATCCCAAACCTGAAAGCATGGTTTAGTAACAGTAAATTAAGATAATATTTTGCATCAGGTTCCATTAAGAATATAATCAAATTTTTCTTTTTTCTTTATGACAAACAATGAATACTATATAGTCCTTTCTACACACAGAACTTTGTTAATTAACAGCCTCAAAATAGTTGTTTACACAAATTCTCTTGCAATATACTCACCTTTTGTCTGTGTTACAGTCGAAATTCTTACAGAGTATTGGATTCTCTGGTATAGTTCTAGAATCAGTAAATCAATGGTTACTAAAAAGGCACTTGACACATGACTACCTCAGAAGTTTTATTCAAATCTTAAGATGTATAAGTCAATTTTCTAGCATGCAATTCATTGTAATTACTTACTGTGTGGTGACTCCATCCCTGATATTTTTGTCACACATATACTGTAGGATTATTTCACAGTGACTATTACGGTTTGCACAGGAATGCTGATTGGTCCTGCAGGAATACATTTGCAAACAAGCAATTGTCAATCACTAAATAATGCTTTTACTTGCATAGAACTACATAAAATAAATGGGAAGCAAGACCTAGTTATAAATGGGAAAAGTTCCTCTTCTCTCTTTTTATATAATAATAATAATAATAATAACTTTATTACAGTCTCTATTTCTTCTAGCCGGGCACAAGTGCCCTACTAATCGGGGAGACAAAATATATGATCAAATTATATGATCTACAAGCTTTCCTTTTGGGGGTGTGCAGGTGGTGGTATACTGTATGGTAGGGGGAGTGCAACTTATGCTTACATCTTTATTAATTAATCTAAACAAGTGCATAAAAATTCAAGAATGAAAGCTTATTAAGATAATGATGCCTTACCATTCAATCGATAAGACTGAGCCTTCATAATAATATAGGTTGCCAACATTATAGCCTCCTCTATTGTTATTCTGAGAATCAAACATCCTGTGGAGTGAAAATAATAATATTCATGTTCCTTTATAAGGCAGCTTTTTTCTCAATGTCAAGAGAAGAAGAAAGAAAGAAAGAGGAGGAGGGGTAAATTGTTCCAGGTACTTTTTTCAGGATGTGTCAATATTACAATATTACAAATTTTGTCTTCTGACCAATGAATTTAAAGAAATATAGATAAGTCATATAGTGCTTGGGAACAAGGATATTCCGGGCGAAAGACCCTTTGAAATAAATTCGGAAAAATTAATTTCCAACCTCGCTGGGAATTGAACCCACGACCTTCGGAATTGTACTACCGATGSTCTACCAGCTGAGCWAGAGGTAAGACTGAGAGCAGGCCGGGGTAAAATAGATGTTTGGTCGCAGTAATTATGATGTAAAGATGAGAATATGTGGACCGCATAGCACTTATGAAGTACATGAAGACATAGAAATATAGTAAGTTATAGTGCTTGGGAATGAGGTTATTCTGGCCRAAAGACCATTTGGAATAAATTCGGAAAAATTAATTTCTGACCTCGCATATTCTCATCAATGAATTTAAAGGTCTAGTTAGTTGGCTGGTTTTCATGAAATAAATATCAAAGCAATTGGTAAAAATAATTAGGATATCAAAGAGAAGTAAAGAATGCAGTCCATATAGCAAAGTTTATTTTTGAAGGGGGAGGGGGAGAGGAGAGGCGATGTAGGGGAGACAGGAGAATATTCCAAGCTATATTAATGTATCTAAAAAGCAATTTTCAACTGAATAACAAGGTGTTTTTACCTGTTAGCATTATTTCTTGCTCTACCACTCTCATCTAGCCTGTTATTCGATCCCCTACAAAAATATTAAAAGCATTAATATTTGTTGTTTGAAGTTATTCAACAATAACAAAGACATCACATGACATCTCTAAAGMTATAATGTAGCTAAATGTTTCCAAGATTTCGAATGGCAAATTAAAAATATCAATCATTTTAACCTTTCGAAATTCTCCCCTAATACCACAAAATAAATAAAATAAATACTAAATTTAGTAAGTAAGCTTAATAATAGAAGTTACATATAGTATTTCTAAAGCTTATGTGTGTGACATTATTTAAGCCTATTGCACAAGGAGTCGGAAGAGATAGCTTCAAAATTCAATAATTGAAGTAAATAAGCAGAATGTTAAAGAAGAGAATAAAAACATCTTCCAACGTAAGACTCCTTAAATACTTGTTATTATCAGAAAGAAGCAAATAGTCTTTGATGAAAGTTTGTAGAATTTTATATAAACGAACTTCGGGATTCGAGCTCGAACTTGAGACTTTTATAGTTAGGCCTATCGCATTACTTTTTACGGCAAACTAACCTTGGATTGTGTAAATACATATCCCCATAGCAAGAGACGAGAAGTAGAGAAAGTATAAGTAGAACCTTCATGGTAAAAGAAAAATAAAATGGCAAGAAAGCTTGGAAGATGAAGTTCTTCCTTGCAGCACCAAGTAGTGACAGTCGACTTGACTTTTGACAGCTGCGATCCAGAACACCAAATATGGGCATCGCTGAGGCCCAGAAAAGGATATGACGTCATGGTTAGATGAAAACTTACGAAATTAAAATATGAATGCATGAATTCTTATTTTAGCTTATAATTTAGCCTGAGAAAAAACAAAAGTTGCTTTCGCGAGGGATGTGAGAGCGAAAGTACGTCTGTTTACTGAAGCTAAATTATAATCCTAATGATATCAAATAATTTTTTATGCCTTCAGTATCATTCCTTGATTAGTCTTGTTTTCTTTAATTTCAAAATGTAATGAAGGATGCCAAATTTGTCGAGCTGTATTTTTGTAATCCATACATAACTGTTCCCTCAAAAAAGAGAATATGCAGGTCTGTGTTTTTCCCGGAAATTGTTTGATGATGCAGAAGACGTCACACAAAAAAGGGGGATCAGTTACTTTGCCATTGAGCTAGCTGCCCTAACTATAGGGAAAAGGTGAAAGATATCTTAATAATTGATTTCGTAATGGAACAAAAAAAAAATGAAAAGTGATATAAAAAATGAAAGACTCATTTCCGGTTTTTTCTCATTTCCCGCCAAAACTTGTTTGACGCGCGCGCAATAGAAAAGGCGCGAAAATTTCACTTTTGATTCTCTTCTCCTTCATACGTCTTTGTTACTGTACTTAGAATATTTCATTCCTCTGTAAATATGGCATATTTTTCTATCTAGTAAGACAATGAATTGGGTTGGTGGGGCAAGGTGAGTTTATTGAAGATTATTCATATTCTTTGAAAGAATCAGTACAACCAGGAAAGCTAAAACCATAGTTAATCCCCTCGATTAACTATGCTAAAATAAAACATCACTTTATTTTTGAAGCAATTTTTTTTTGTCATGCATGTTTTAACTGGTAAATGAGCTTATGTAATGCCATTATAGTTTTTTTTGAATAAAAATTAAACTTATTTTCATGTTTCCAGGAACAGAGTAAAACTCAAACACGAAAAGAAGATCCAAAAGGTAAAGCTTATTCTTCGTTTGCACGTTACGTCATCGCGGCCATGTTGGTACCATTTAACAAAAGTTTTTTCATTATAAGCATCGATTGTTAACGGTACCATAATGGCCGCCATGTTTTTGTCTTTTAACACTCTTGGGAATGCTTGCAACCCATCAATGATTAAACTCTAGTCCGCGAGAAAACTACCTTAATTAACTTAATTAATTTAGGCTTAAACTTTCTATCTTTGAACTTAATTTGTTTTAGGAATTTTTTGAAAGAAAGCGACATACTAAGAAAGTTCTTCGAGCAAAACAAGAGGATTGTCAAGAGAATGAAGGGAAAACAGGAATAAGCCAGGATTTGATAGCACTACAAGCGATCGTTAGTGCACATGATAAACCAAAACGTAAACCAAGTAAGTTGCCAAACGTCAATATTTAGATTTTCTTAGCAGAAGAAAAACCAGGGATTCAGTAATGGGTGATGAGAGGCGGAGATGATCGGATAACAACATAGTGAAAATCCTTTGCCGCACATTAGCAAACAACTACCCCCGCTCTGTATACAACTATTTCAGAAAATATTGCCAGTCGGAAATCTGAAATCATAGACGACCAGCACGCATACATTCACTGTAGTACAACCGACAGACGTAGTTTTATTTTAAATTGGGATATTTAGCATGCAAACTGATTCCGGGCTATTGGCTAAATGCATTCTTATTTTTCTCACAAACCTGGAATAGACTATGCTCTATTTAACAAATAAAACAGGTTTTTCCGTTCTCCGTCAGTAATAATGCGTCGCTATTTCTCCATTACACTTCTCTTCGTGCCTATGCCACTTCCTGCATGCTTTATTACTGAAGGAGCACGGAAAAGCTGTTTTATTCGTCTTATTATATAGCTACTATTTTTTTCGGCATTAAAATTATACTACGCAAAAAAAAAAAAGACGGTCGCAGGATCTAGCAGCACTTCGCGCGCGCGGATGGCATCAGTACTGTGCTCCGTTCACTAATAAAGCACAGTTTTCGACCAATCAGCGCGCGCGTACTATCCTAACTATGAAATAAAGCCAGGTAATGTCACTTACTAGTTACAGCGCCCGGCTCTCATCCCGCGTCGCATTTCAATTCAGAAAAATACACTCGATATTTTCGATCGAGATTGTTTACGAATTAACTAATAATGCTGAATATGTGAGCAAAAAAAAAAGTTTCTAAAAAAAATATCAGTGCCAAATTTAAGATAATATACCAAATATATATATGGATACGTTGGGATTCGAACCCAACGACAGGRAAAAAAAAATCGATTCCACTGTGCCATACCCCCGAGACATCCGCAGAGCTGGGGCGTCGTATGGACTTCGGACCTGACGGCGATTAAATCCTTCTGCCCTTGGGTGTACGAATTACGCAAGAAAATGTTCTAGCCAAAGCATCAGGGGAGAGACCAGCCGGCCCCCAGACCATATCGGCTAATCCCTTGCATCTCTGCCACGCACGGAATCGGTTGAAAAAACACTATCAAAAAGTCTAGTCTATTCGGTGCATTGTTTTCACGGCTATTGTTATGCTGATTCACCTGGAACCGTGGTCCAGTGGAAAAAACTTGGGCTTCAATGCTGGCACTGAGTCAAGTCCGGTTGAGCGAAGTTAGTACCGGGATGGGTGACCTGAAACTAATACCTACTTACTACTTTTTTTTTTTTTTTTT